CATTGAGAGGAAGCTAAGGCTGATCAGCTGTCACTAGTCTTGGCGCTTGTACTGTCAGACAAGTTGGTGGCATGGGCTTCTCCCCTAGTGGAAGGGGCTTCGCTGCGTTCCTGCCAGTGGGCAGCCATTTTGTGCCATGGCTTCAGGGTGAAATCCAAGTGAAATATGAAATATGCTCCTCTCGCCTTTTAGATGCTGGCCAGAGCAAGTGTCGCTTGGAGCGGGCTCAAGCCTTGGAGCAGGCCAAGAAGCCTCAGGAGGCTGTGTTTGTCCCAGAGTGTGGTGAGGATGGCTCCTTTACCCAGGTGAGGCCTTGGGCAAGTCTCCTGGGCTGTGTGCTGGACGGGGGCAGAAGGGGAGGTGTTCTGAGAGCGTGGGGGCCGCTGGACACCTTCACTTTCTGAGAAACGGCTGAGTGAGTGGCTCTTGGACTCCCCTGCATGCTGTCTACCCCCGCCTGAGCCTCCCTGCCGCCTCTTGCCAACTGGCATTTGGCCCTGACAAGATGCATGAAACTCTGAGCCAGGAAACTGGCATGGCTTGGTCCCCATCCTCCCCGCTGGCCGTCTCCTCCAAGGACCAGACCTGCATTGATTACTTTTTCTTATCCCTGCCAGTTTCCAGGGGCAACCTTGGTATTCCCCTCACTATTTATTACTACTCCTTTACACTCCCCTGCCTCCTACCCCGTCCTTGAACAAAGCAGAGCCCTCTTTGAGCAAAAAGTGTACTGTGGCCCCTGGAGCGTTTGTGCTCTCGTGTGCACAGGCATGCATGGGTGTATGTACACTCTGACTGGAAAATCTCTTTTTGGGTGGTCCCACCTCTCATCCCACATGGTCCTCAGGTTAGTTCTTGGTGTAAAGGTAACTGGCTCTGTTGTCATTGGCACAGTCTGCTTCTGAAACTCAACAGCGGGGGGATAATAAAGTGCTCCCTTAGGGACGTTTCTAGGTTGCCCCTGCTACACAGGGGCTTGTGGCTGGGAGGCAGGAGGATTCTCAGAGTTAGGACACATGCCAACTGGATGTAGGTGCTATGGGGAAGGTCATTGCACAGGGTGAGCTTAGCATGATTGGGGATGGTCCCCATGCCTGCGACTCTCCTTGTCTAATAGAGCATCACTGGGGGAGTCCTTGTCCTGGAGCTGGGGTGGGGAGGACTTCAGGGATTTAAAGCTTTCCTGTAATTACAGGATCAATGGGCAAAGGATGTAGGCTGGCTCTTGGTCCGAGAGGTCTCAGGTTTCTTTTCTGGACCGGGTTAGGGGATGACTGGTTTCAGACTGAGTGCTGTTGGGTAGAAATGTGGAGGGGTGGTGGGGTGCAGATTGCACATCAATATGGTAAAGGTTTTCCAGTTGACTGCGGCAGGCTGGAGCAGTGGCTAAACTGACCTGCCAATCCTGGTGGAGGTGCTCCTTATTCACTTCCTTGTTTTACACCTACCACAAACCCACTTATGGGTGGGGGGACAGCAGTGGGACATGGAGTGGAGAACTGGGGTTCAAGCCCAGAGCCCTCCAGAGGTCTCAGAACTAGCAGTTTCAACGGAGGCAGCCTGGGGCTATGGGCCGTGTGCTGCCCCTGGAGCCAGCCTGCCTGGGTGCCAGGCCAGCCTCACTATGCTGGCAAGTTACCCAGCTACTCTGGGTCTTTATCTGAAAAATGGGAGGTGATGATTATTACCTATTAAAAATCTCACTTTAAAAATGAGATGATTATCTCTGCCATTGGTATGTGTTATACGTATGTTCTGTATTACTATTACCATTAAGTCATATATGATATATTACTCTTACTATGGTATTTATTATGTATTACTATTATCATTACCGTTGTTAATGGTTATTATTATAGATTCCCTTGTGAGGTTTTGATGAGGGATTGGATGAGTGAACACATGTAAAACACTTGGAACAAATGAATGCCAAATAAATGTCATCATTATCATCATGATTCCTGTCTCTAGTATGGTTCTACTATTCAGGTCTTCCTAAGATTTTATGAATGATACCACTTAAAGAAAAAAAGAAAACAAAACAAAATCTTAAGATCTTTCATTGAAACTCCCCAAGTTTGGAAATTGCTGAACTCTTTCAATTTCTCGACTTTTTTTTTTTTTTTTAGAGACTACAAGTGATATTTTATATAATGATGGGATTCATTATTACGTATTTGTACATGCGCAAAGTAGAAATCAATTTTTAATTATTTATTTTAGTAAAAAGAATATACGAAATCTTTTGTATATATTTTGAACTGCATTGTTAAGCTTCATGTCTGGGGGAGGAACTCAGACCTACTCAGATGAGAGGGGGTAGAGGCGATTGAGAGGAGGGCAGAGTCCACAGAGGTTGTTTTCTGCCTTCTCTAGGCTTGTGCAATCTCGGTGTGTTGCTCATGAGGACAGTTGACCCCTGCCCTCCTGATTCTGAAATGTTTGCTGTCTGTGAGAGCCTGCTGGCCAGCTTTTGTTTTGGTGAGGCCAGGCAGACCAGGTGGTGTTTGCTGAAGGAAAAGAACTTCCAGATGAGTCCAGGATGAATTGCTAAATGAGAGTGCCCAGGGAGCCCAGCAGAGGTTATACAGATGCTGGGTACCCCTCAATTATTGGACTGCCATGTGTCCTCAGGCCCAGCTGGCTCACCCCGGTGGGCAGACAGATAACCAGACAACAGCCCATCCCAGCTCAAGTGATTGAATGGATGTGCCTTCCTCCTGATCAAAAATGCTGCAATAGCTTTATAAAATGAGACTGCCTCTTTGAGGGTGTTTTAGTCCCACTGACAGGCTGCTGGAGTGTGGGTGACAAAATGCTTTTCTCTTTCCCTCCCCTTCATCATCATTTAGCTGGCCTTTTTTTTTTTTTCCTCCTTAGACCAAAACGCAGAGTCAAGCTGCATTTCGTTAATGTTCCTTAGAATATTGACATGTACACATCCTGGTGTTAATAACAACATATTTTAGCCCTGGGAATTATTACACACTCTCTTGAAGTTTATGGAGGGGATGATGGGGTCTAATGGGATTGGGTTTGTCTGGTGTGGGACACAGCTTGAGACCACATGACTGAGTTGACTTTAATGGGGTTCAGATGGGACTCTATGGCTTCTGTTCTCTTCCTTTGTTTCCCCTGGTCCTCTTTCCTCCTTAGGCCAGATCCCAACTCCCTCTCACACATACACATACGTCATTTGCCTCCTGTAGCAGTGATACTAAAACTGCACATTAGATCACGTTAGATACTTTGTAATTAAAAAAAAAGTTTTTTGTAGTTGTAGATGGACAGCATGCCTTTCTTTTATTTATTTATTTTTATGTGCTGCTGAGGATCCAACGCAGTGCCCTACACATGCTAGGCAAGTGCTCTGCCATTGAGCTACAACTCCCCCAGCCCTGAGATCACATTAGATTCTTAAAAGTCTCAAAACCCTAGTCCATGTCCATGTCTCACCCAGACCATTAAATCAAATTCTGGGAGTGTGACCCAGGCCTCATATTTTTTGAGCTCCCTGCGTAATGCCAGTGTTTGGTCAAAGTTTGAAGCTATTTAGAAAGGGCATTTCCACTCTTGTTTCTTTTCTTTCTTTCTGTACTGGGGGGTGAACCCAGGGGTGCTTAACCACTGAGCCATATCCTCAGCCCTTTTTTATTTTTTATTTAGAGACAGGGTCTTGCTGAGTTGCTTAGGGCCTCACTAAGTTGCTAAGGCTGGCTTTGAACTCGCGATTCTCCTGCTTCAGCCTCCCTGGCTGCTGGGTTTACAGGCGTTGTGCTACAGCACCTAGCTCCACTATCATTTCTTGATGGCATTATTGGATGGGAAGTTATGACTCTTTGGTGACCTATTAAGTCAGGAGCTACAGGCTCTGTCCTTTACTGTGATCTGTTCTGTTTTCTCTTCTGGGTATCAAGAGCATAATTCCTGACATCTGGCCTAACCAAATCCCCTGCCAAGTGACTGTCTGGTGCCCAAGCTGATTAACTGAAATCCCAGCCATCATGGAAGGGTGCTGGCTTGCCACCACCAGGAAGTGCTGGCTGCAGTTTGTCAAGTGTGTGCCTCTCCAAATGACAATGATGGGACTCTTTATGGAGTGCTAGCAAGTGCTAGGCACTGAGTTTTCCTTCTGTTAGTCTCCCACTACGACTTTTTTGAGGTAGTTATTAATACCCTTATGCATAAAGGAAACTGAGTTTCAGAGGCAGTGAATAACAATTTGAGGTCACAGAGCCAGAAAGGGTTTGTAGTCAGCCTGCCTGGTTTCAGGGTCTGTGCGCTATTTTGTGTTTCAAAAGTGGCCTTGATACATGTGTCTTTCATTTTCATCACCATTGTTATCCCAGCAGTTCCCTCTCTTGTTGCCCAATCAATCAAATACACATTTAGGAAAAAAAAAAACAAAAACCTTTGATTATGGAAATTTTTTAAAACACAAAAAAGTAGGCATAATAACATAATGAACTCCATGTACCCATCACCAGCTCCAACAATGATTGACACGTGGCCAATTCGGTTTCATCTTTACATCATTTTCATCTCCCATCCCTAACTGAATTGCTTCAAAGCAAATCCCCAGACAACATATATTTGTTTTAATCCCAAGCTGACAGTCTTGAGCTCCACTGTATTCTGGGCTGCATACTGGTTGTTATAGGGGATTAAAAAAAAAAAAAAAAAAAAAAAGATGTCCTACTTCTGCCTTCAAGGGGTTTACATGCAGAAAAGATATTAAGGCAAATGATAAAATACCTAGGTATAATGGGTAATACGGATTTTAAAAGCCCATTAACAAGTCAGTTATTTGAAATTCAGAATGCAATTTTGTTGTTGAGAACATATATACAAATTTAAATTTTGTGACCATAAACATTCTATACAAAACTGAAAAAACAGTGACACACATTAACCTTAGTTAAAAAGAGCTAATCTTTTGTAAATAATTCTTAAAATTTGGAACAAAAGAGCCCAGTAGAAAAACTGCACAGGACATATCAACAAGCAGATCACTGAATAATAATAAATAGGCAATAAGTGAATCTGAATGATTGTTATCTTCCCTGGTCACTAAAGAAGCACAAATAAAAGTGATGATTTTGTTTTGCTTATCAAATCAGAAAAAAATCAGAAAAGATGGTAATATTTGGGGAGAAGGCTACCCCTGTATTGCCGTGGAGGAAGAAAATTGGCATTGACTTTTTAAGGGGGTGATTTTGCAATGGGAGTCAAAAGTCCTTAATTGTGTCCACATTTTGGACCTATAGTTCCACTTCTAGGAATTTATTCTAAGGAAATAATTAAA